CTTATAAAAAAGTTCCGAAAATTCGAATTTTATTCCGTAAATAAATTCGGCTTAGATAAACTTAGATAAATTTCAAAATTCTGAGATTTTTAAGAAGAACATGTAAAATTTCGGAATTTAAAAAATATCTTAATTAGGCCAGAACAAATAACAAGTTTTTCTTTTGTCACTCGATTTGTCACAGTCGAGGGGGGGGGGGGGGGGGGAAATAAAAAATAAATAAAACATTTTAAATTCGTTTTACATTACATCTAAACCACATATTTAAAACGCTAACATTTTTTCTTAGCCTTCGCATTAGTCTTATACTTCTTTGAAGCCGTGAGTTGTATCCTTTAAAGCAAGAACATTGGTAATAATGTAGATGAATAGGAGCAATTGATTTTTGGGTATTGATAAATTCCGGATAAACCATCAAGCGGAATACCACAAACGTAACAGTTCTCATAAAAAACGTTGTTTTCGATTGTTCCTCCCTATCCAAATATAACTCAGTTTTCTCAACAATTGTGCTTGCTTCAAAAAATCTAAATAGACGTATGGATTCAGGAAGGTCTATTCAAAAAATCCAAGTATTCAAAGGAAGGATCCAAAATCCATCTTGGCTGAACATAAAAACCATATTTTAACAAAAATACCTAGTTTTGTCAATTTAAAGCTGGCTTTGTGTGTGCCTAAAAATCATCACATATGAATTCAGCAAGGTCAATTCTATAAAATCTAAGCATAACTTTCAAAGGATAGTATCACAATTCAACTTATCAGAAAGGGAAAACCAAAAGACTTTACGAATTGTAAACCCGGTTCAACTTTCACTAATGGATTCAGCAAGGTCCATACAATAAAATAAAAGCATATTTTTCAAAGATATGACCCAAAATGCAATTTGGCAGAACCGAAAAACCAAATTTCTATGAAAATACGTATGGATTCAGCAGTTCTGTAAAATCCACGCCTATTTTTCAATTTCTATAAAAATGAGTACTTTTGAGAATTCAAACTCAGTTTTCTAAAAAAAATAGTGCATGCTTCAAAAAATGTATCATCACGTATGGATTCAGCAAGATCCATTCTTTAAAATCGAAGTCTATTTTCAAAGATCGGAGCTGAAATTCAACTTGGTCGAACAGAAAATTAAAGTTTTTATGAAAGTACGTACTTTCGTGAATTTAAACTCGATGTTCTCAAAATTTGAAGAAATTCAACTCTCACGTATTGTTTCAGCAACTTCTGTTCTTTAAAATACAAGCCTATTTTTTAAAGATAGGAGCCAAAACTCAGTTCAGACAAAACAGAAAAATCATTTTTTTTTTGTGAATATTAATTAACCAGGTTCGTTCTTCCGCTATTCAGCAACTTCCATTCAATAAAATCCAAGCACAAATTTCAAACAATTGAACCTAAATCCAACCTGGCTTCAAACAAATCTATCATCACGTATGAACTCACAAAGCTATATTCTATAACATCCAAGCCTGTTTTTCAAAGGACAGAGCCAAAATCCATCTAGGCTGATCAAGAAACCCAAATTTCTATAAAAATAGTACTTTTGTGGATGTAAACCCAGTATTTTCAACAATTGTGTCCGGTATGAACACACGAAGGTCCATTCTTCCATCAGCCTAATTTTCAAAGGATGTGAATCTCACAAGAACGAGGAACGGGTCTAAAGGAGCGGAATCTACGCTAAAAGTTAGTTAAATCACTTCAGGAAAGTTTAAGCTCAAAAAGTGTTAGAAAACTAGATGACCTAAACAAGATTGTGTCTTTGCCAAATGCCAAAGCAGTTAAGAACAGTTCGGAAAAAGTTGAATCAATGCAGGAAACTTTTGATTCATTTAGGAAAGGGATTAAATCAGCTAATGTTGCTTCACTTTAGAAAATGCGAAACCAATTCTTTAAGGATTGGATTCGGGATTTGTTGAATCACTTCAGGGAAGCTTTGACAACTTTAAAAAGGATTGAATAACATAGCAGAAAAGTTTAGACTTAGTTAGAAAAATGTTGATGACTTATTCGAAAGTTTGAACTCACTTCAGCAGAAAAGTTCAGCCTCAGTTTTGAATCTGCTTTGAAAAGTGTCACCTCAGTTAGGAATTTCCTCAATCGTTTCTGATTTTTGGTCTCACTTCTAAAAAAATTAAACCAATTTTGAAAAGATTGGATTTAGCTCGGAAATGGTTGAATCACTGTAGAAAAGAATTGAGACAAAAGAAAAACTTGAAATTTGTTCCGGCCTTATGGTAATTTTAAACATCAGAAACTTTAAAAACTTTAAAAATTTACATTGCTTGTTAATAGGGCCAGGGGTTTTTCGGGTTTTCGACATTTAAATTGCTGAATTGCATCAATTGTTCAAAATCAGTCATGCCGGTATTCCCTTTTTACCCAATTTATCAGTTTCTATGAAGCCGAGGGAGGTATTTAATTTCTTAACTTCAGTAGCCACCCTGTATAGTACCAATGGCTATTTGTAATCTTTCAAGAGAGGTTCTCAAAATTTTCAACGGAGCAAGGCTTTCAGGGAAGGGTCTCAGGATCTCCGGAGAAGGTTCTCAGACAAGTTCCTTCCAATTTATAGGGATGGGCATCCAGGGAAGATCCTCATGACTACGGGTAGAAATCCTCAGTACTTCCAGGGGAGTACTTCAGGACTTTCAGAGATGGTCCAAGGAGGTTCAGAAGGCTTTTTTTTATAATGAAATTTCAATGCATGTTTAGAGATTGTCCAAAACCAGTTCAGAGAGCTTCCAGTGGATGCAGATCATATCAATTTGAAATTAGTTCAAATTTCTTATTCAGGCGAATTCATGAGACATGTTTAGACACAATGACGTTTATATAAGGTCCGGGGCAACAGGCAGCTTGCTGGTGTTAGAAGCAAAAATATTGTAAACATTGCTGAGCACTCAAGTGACGATGTCACTCTACCATCACATTCCATACTGCGAACAGTGAGATTGACGTCTCTGCCAACAGCTGTTTCGTGTAAAAAGATAAACATTGCAATGAAATACGAACACCACTAAACATTTGCACATTTCACTAACACCAATAAGCCTGTTGGCCCGGACCTCATATAAAGGACATTGGTTCAGACACTCGAGCAAATCCTGAGATCGTTTTTTTTTTCTTTCTTTATTATAGAGATTTTTAGCCATTTGGCTAGTTCATCTCTTCTCCTGTGATCAAATTTAAGCCTAAATTTAATGTTGTGATGTCGCTGATAATGATTACTCCGTTTGCTGTCGTTTAGTTCGTTTTAACGGTTAAAATATCAAAATTGAGAGCAAATAAATCATCCTGTGACATTACAATGAGGACTAATTGTGCTGTCAGTGAGAGCAAACTGAAAACTCAATTAATCATATCGTCCGGCCATTTTCCACAGAGATGGCGCTGTTTCGCTGGTAGGAAGTAATAAAAATCCCCATATAGAAATTGAGAGAAGTGGGAATAATTCGCTTTCAGTGCATATTCAGGTCAAAAAAATGAACGATAACCTAAATAAATTAGTCAGGGTCTTAGTCGTTCAGTTTTTTCCCGGAAATTATTGTTCAACAAGCTATAAATAAATAAAAATGATTTTCCCCATACAGTTTTATCTGCTTTACTATCAGTCCCCAGAGAGCCAAAAAATTCAAATTTGAGAGAGAAAATTTGCTCTCACGAGCTCAATCGTTCAACATGCTATGTATTTTGATGACACTCGATTTGTGATTTCCCTATCACAGATTATAAAATACAGTACCTGACACTACAAAACATGTCTGCTTCCATTTATTAACGTCTCTTTAAACAAATCACCTTGAGGAGGTGGTGTAGTTCATTCAAGACGGCCTACGAAACATGTCTGGTACCTCTATATATGCATTAAGATTAACATTCGAAGTCCCTCCTTTTTTACATATTCTGCAAAAAAATACTTTCTGCCCCGCCCCATTCTTAAAAATCGGCGGGTAATACTGTGAGGGGTGAGCTATTTGTTGTGCAGAATGTGTATAAAAGGAGAGACTTCGAATATTAATCTAAATGCATATATAGAGGTACCAGACATGATTTGCACTGCAGTGTCCTCTGTGAACAATTAACGGAAAACATATTGTGCGTAGTTTCCGATAGATGTCACCGCAAACAACAGCAGTTACATCTGATGGAACATGAATGCAGAAGCTTGACAAAATGATTAATTTGATGTACATTTTTCCTGTTGATAACAAACCGATTATTCAATTTGATGTTCTGCTAAGACAATGAAAACAAAACTGCGCCAACATATTATTGAAGAGCAAACGTAGGTTTTTGATCTAGTTTCCGTCCTACTAAGCACACCCCGCGCTTCACCTCACTCTTCTGAATGAGTTTAAACAAAAAATGGAATATTTCTGTCAAAAATGACTTCTAAATTTATTCACCTTTCCATACGTACTGTTGGATTTGATAAAGAGTCACCAATTGTTGAGATATTGATTAAAATCTAACACTGCTTCTTGATTCTAAATTCGTTCTACGAGTTTCAATTCCGTCCTAACGCATTGAAACGCCATTAGATTTTCTTCGTCCTTTGGATAAACGTTGAAAAAGGGGATTCGCTAGGAGCGCTTCTTTTGTTTTGAGAACAATGAGCGTAAATATTCATACAATGCGCTCTAACAGGATTTATGTTGTAGCTAATGAACTAACGCATCGGAACAAACCTATTATTGATTTGTGCACGGTGAAATAATTGATATTATTGATCTTTTCTGATCGTTAGAACGGAAATGGGCGATTACGACGAAGTAGCGCTCTACCCTACATCAAAATAAAAAAACTAGATTTGTTTTCAAATTTGTCATCACGTAAACTGAAATCAAATTATGATTTCAGTTTGATGTTGGTATCACAATTTGATTTAATTTTGCTGTCATTTTCATGTAGGACTTTGTTCGGGGTGATTCTTCCATTTGATGCGAACTAAACACAACACTAACAGCTTTCCCTTCTTTCCAATCTTTCAGGCTTAAGTGCTTCGATGAACGCCCTGAACACACTGTCCCAGTTTGGCAACCTGGACCTCGCGACGCAGCAAAACGTCACGGCAACGATGAACGCGCTGGCCGCCAGTTCAGCCAAGGCGAAGGACTACATGTCCTCCGGAATACTCAAGTAAGTACCAATTACCCGCTCTAATAACACGACATAGGATTAAGATTTTATTTCCGTCATACTAAGCACGACCCGTACTTTACCTATCTTTTTCGAACTGCTTTGATAAAAACAATGGAATGTTTTTTTTATCAAAGATGAAGATTCGGTGTTTCTGCTCGATATGACGGAAATATGCGCTGATGTCGAACTAGTTCTCTACTCTACTTGTAACGTAACAGTTTCAATTCCAGCGATCCGTCCTCGCTGCTAGGGGTGCGATTACCACCGGACACGGAGATTATCAAGTACACCAGCTCGATTGTCGGACCGAAGGCCTCGGGTACGGGCGGTCGGGGAAATAAACGAGCCCGGATGGAATCGAACGAATACGCACAGCAAGGGGCGACGTCCGGGGGCTCCATGTCTTCCACCGGTAATAACAACAACAGCGGTGGTGGGGCAAGTAATCTCTCCGGACTGGGTGCTATGGGATCCGGCGGTGGTGGTTCCACCGGTAGCGGAAATAATAACGATCGAATAGAAGTCATCAAACTGCCACCGACCATCACGTCCAATGGGGTGTACAATGCTGGAAAAGGTTTGTGTTCCCGCGTCCCGGTTCGCTTCGCTTGTTATCCTCTAATGTCGCTTATTTTTTCAGGCAAAGACTCCATGTCCGAGCAAATCAACGAATGGGCCGGTTTGAATCTCAGTGCAAAATCCTCATCGTCGATGGCCTCTTCGCTGGCAGCGGCTGCAGCTGCAGCCGTGGCAGCTGCCGTCAACGAACCACAAGACGATGCTCCGTTGAATCTGTCGATGAAACCGTCGAAGTCGTCGGATAACCGAGAATCGCCTGCCCCTCCTTCCGGTTCGTCGACACCCAGTGCCAACAGTTTACAAAGTCTCAGCACAATCACGGCCGCCCTCGGAGGGTCCGGTGGCTCCTCCGATAATACCCCACGATGTGAGTGTAAAATGAAACGGAGGAAAAGTATGATCCTATTGACATTAGATAGTAGTAGAACTAGCGTAGTCGTTCCGCCCTTTCTTGCATGTTTCCCAACACTGACCGTGTCCTAAGTCCCGTCGTAAAAAGTTGTGCCCAAGAACACACACACCCCAAAACCCCAAACACTAGGTCCTAAAACTTTACCGCTGATATTGCGAGTTAAGAATTCGTAAAACAACAAGTGATTTTCTACCTTCTCTCTCTCTTCCATATACATGTACAAAAATTGTGTTCAGCTCGTCGAAAATCCAACAATAAGAACCGCTCGTCGGCCGCGGCGGCGGCTGCGGCAGCAGCGTCGTCGGATCCGGCGGTTTCGTCCGCTGGGTTCGCCCTGGGTGGCAGCGCTTCCTCCGATGGCGCCGGTAACTTGAACAATTCCCTCCACAGTAGTACCATCAGTTCGCTGCTATTGGCCGCAAGCGGTGCCAATAGCGGAACTACCGCTACCGCTAGTAGCAGTAGCAGCAGCAGTGGCAATGGGATCCTCCAATCATCCGGTGGAAGCGTTGTCGCCAGCCAGCTCGGGCTCAACAGCTCCCTGTCCGAGCTGTTGAAGATCTCCAATTACGAAGAGAGCGACTATGCGGCGCTGACTGGATGTTAGTATTGTTTTTGTTTTGTTTCTGAACTTCTTGCTGAACAATATGATAATGAAGCATGTTTATTGATTTGAAATTGCATCACGCGATGATTGCGATAGTAGCTAGCGAGTAGTCGACGCGATCGAAGGAAGAAAGAGAATATTTAAAAACGATAACTGTTATAATATACCTACCAGCGGATACACTGTTATACGTATACCATTATAAGGGCATTCCTAGAATAGTCGGAGTTATGAAATATTCAAAATCGCCTCAAAATTTAGAAACTGACGAAACCTGTGTCTTTTTGCGTGCCCAAAATTTTCTAAAAGTGGTGAACTTGAACCAACAGATCAGTCCATACTAAAGTACGGTCAAGTCTCCACATCTCGATGTCCACTAGCTCGTTATCTAGTTATAGAACGAAAGTAAAAATGAATTTCATGGCAATTGTGACAGCGATTTTGTATGAAATTTTTATTCTATAACTCGATAATAATTCTATAAATTGATAGTCCCTTCAATATCGAGTTGTAGATAGTTTACTGTAGATCCATTATCCATTGGAAGTGAAAACAAGGACTGTCAAGGATCGTGTATGATGAATGGATTGGTGAAAATTCACGTTTGATAGCTTGTTATGATGTTTTCGGCCTAATGATTCATTCGAAAAAAACCATACACATGGTTTGGTTATTCTATTACGTACCAAATGACGTATGGTAAATGGTAAATCGAAAAAGTCTCAAGACCTCTGCTTTGACATGGTAGCTTCAACCATAATGGCCATCACGCATAATTGATCTTGTTTGGCTCTAATAGCTTCTGTTGGACAATCTTCTCGAAGTGAACTAACCGTTCCCTAATACTTCCTATTTTAGCTTCCCAATTCAAGGAAGGTCGACCACGCAACTTGGGCCGAGGCGTATCCAAACCTAAGAAGAACACTGTAGCATCACTTCTGGCACAAAGCCGTGCGGTGGGTTCGAAGCCACTGACCGCACAGCAACTACTCACCCAGGAAGCGGAAATTGTGAGTCTCCGTTGCGTCTCTACTTTCTGTTTTAGGTTCTAATGGTCGATTTCGCTTCATTTTGCTGCAGGAAAAACTTCGCCAAGCAATGATCGATGCTAGTCAATCGATGGATAGTACCAGCAACACCAACACTGACACGGAGAGCGTGGCCGAGAGTGGCATGTCCGAATCGGAGGGCGAAGAGCAAATCAATATCAAGGATCTGCGGGTACCCCTGGAAAAGGGATGGCGCCGGGAGACGGTCATCCGAGGCCTTACCAAGAACGGCCAAATCAAAGGGGACGTGTTCTACTATCCGCCGCAGAGTTTGAACAAGATGAAGGGCATGAATCAGGTGCAGTTGGTAAGTTTGAATAAATTAGGACGGGATAAAGCGGGTTGTTTACGGTGGATTATTTGAATTCTTCCAGTATTTGGACCAATTCAAACCGAAGGACTTGACGCGGGACAACTTCAGCTTCTCGGCAAAGGCGATCGTGGGAACGTTTCTGCAGCCGGCACCGCCTCCGTACGCCACCGATGGCGAGTACATCAAAATGACGGATGCGGAGGTGGCCAGGCGGCTGGAGGAGCTTAAAATGTTCACCCGGCATACGGCCTTGAATGTGGAACAGCGAATTGAGATTGCCAAACAGCAGCAAGCCATGCGGGATGCCAAGAAGATGGCCAAGGATGAAATCAGCAAGAATAAAGAGAAGGTCAGTTGAAACTTCCTTTTTTAAATATGCATAGGATAATCCCTAACGCGTTGCTTCCAATAGGCACGACAGGCTAAGGAAGCAGAACGAAACGAACGGCTAGAGCAGCAGCGAAGGGAACGGGAATTGAAGAACCAACAAGCTTTGGAGGTATGAATCTGTACCAAATTCTAAATTCGTTTTTAAAATTAAATAATTGTACGTTAATCCCCAGGCTAAGAAGAAGCGAGAAGAGGAACTCGCTCGCCAAAAAGCCGAAGAAGCTGCCCGAAAACAGCAGGTTAGTATGACACTCTCAATCTATCATCATTTCGTAATTGGTTCATTTGAAATATACTTTTTTCTTTTTTTTTTCAATCGAAATCCCATAAAATTAAAAACAAATTTAAATTCACAATTTGGGATTTTAATTCACACAAACACGCGCGCCATCTGCCTCTCAAACAAACGAACGAACGACTGCAATCGAATCGGGTTCGAAAACCGTGTGTGTATGTGTAATTCAGGAGAAAGAACTGAAACGACAGCAGGCACTTTTGCAAAAAGAACAGGTACAGATCGGAATGTGAAACACACTCTAGTTAAGTAGTTGTGCCACCCACACCCACACTTTAGAGAGTCACAATTAGCCAGTGTTTGTCATCCACAACAGTACATATAACCAAACCAAACGTATTGATAGTTTGTAGAAGACAACCAGCCCGTTTAGGTTATAGTTTTTAGTTCGAAATCCAAATTCCTGTGTGTTATGATTTTGTGTTCGTACCTCAACTTGAGTTCTGTGCAATTGGTAGTACCTTATTAGTTTATTTCAACCGTTTCCTGTATCTAATCTGCAACCATTCCTCCTGCGAAGATAGATAAACTATAGACGAAAAAGGTCCGTTCCGTGTCACCATTTCCAAAAAAAAATAATCATTGTAAATAACCCATCTCTGTCCCAGAAGAAACAAACAGAATCCACCGACATCGCTTATAATTTCTCTAAACTCTATCCCATTTGTTTTTTTTTTTTCGTGTCGTTTAGGAACTGCAGAAACAGAAAGAGCTGATGTACGCCGTTGAAATGGTAGGCATCGATTGCAATCTGGGGAATTGTTTTTACCACCATCATCCATTACTCAACCGTTTTACTCTAGACTTTGGATGGGTTGCGTTTTTGGTTTCCCGTGCTCTGCTTTGAGTTAAACTCTCTACTCGCCCTCAATTTCCATCTTAATCAACCGTTCATTATCAATTTATCACTAATTGTTGGATATTATCTCCAGTGACCATAGTCTTTATCGTTTGCAATTCACTAATTGGCTCTGGCATTCTAGGTTTAGTCCCATCAAAATTATACGTTGGAAAGTTTGAACTCGATCTCTCGGTAGGTCCGTTTCAAAGTTCCTGACGGGTCTCATCATTCTGGTCTAGATCATTCAAAATCAATTCCTTCAAATTTGCCTGTTATCGCGATTTCAACACACTCCCGTTTATTTTTTTAATATTTTCTTTGACCTTTTATATAAGAAGAATAATCCTTGCATGCATTAACTTGTAAGTTTTCTCGTAATGTTATTAAGTTTAGGTATAAGGGTATGGTATGGTATGGTTTCTCTCGAACACTTACACATATAACATTGAATGTAATAGTTTTGACAACTTTTGGGACCCCCCTTAAATCTTAAAGCCAGTGAGTTCGGAAGAGATGTAACAGTATCCTCGAAGGAAATTGTTTTAGGGTACGCTTGTATTTCCAGGGAGAAATTACAAGAACTATCTGAACATTTCTATTTTTTTAGAATTTTTTAAAAGTGCTCTGAATCTTGATAGTCTACTGCATGTCTTTGAATTTTCCGATCATTTTTAAAATCCCAGAACATATCTGAAACACTCAAAACTGTCACCGTCTTCAATTATGTTCCCGGAACACCCCTAAATTGAAGCTATTCAAAGAACATTTCCAAAACTCACAGACTCATAGACTCAAGCCTGAGATTTGAGTTTTTGAGTTGTTCGCAACATTGCCCCTAGGAGATCTCCAGAGAGCTTCTTCTTTTGAAAAGTTCTCAGATCCTCTGAAAAGTTCTTGTAGAATTTCTCTAAGAACAGTTAACTCCAGGAGAACCTCGCAATAACTCAGGAACTCTCAAAGAAATTTAAAAGAACTTCAAAGAAGTTCAGACCCAGAAATATTATTAAAAAAGTTCATGGAACCTTTAGTTGAGTTCTGTAAACGCCAGAGAAATTCAGTGAACTTCATAAAAGCGTCTCGTTGACAACCTGCTCATTAAGAAATGTTTAGGAGAATTTCATTAGCGTTCGGGAAAATTTCAGATTAGTAGTTCAGGGATACCTTAGACCAATTCAGGGACTTCGTAGAAATTAAGAGAAGCTTTGAACATCTTATTTTCCAAGGAATTTCAGAAATTTAAAAAAAATCGGAGAAGTTCAAACCCAACTTTTTTTTTAATAGTTCAATAGAAACTTTAGATGAGTTCAGTAAACGCCAGAGAAATTCACTTAACTTCAGAAAAGCTTTCGTTGACCTCCAAATGGGTTAGGAAAATAAATAAAAGTTTTACCATAAACCAATCCAGCAGATCTTAAGAGTAGTTTAAGGATACCTTAGACAAATTCAGGGACTTCGTAGAAATTATCAAAAAATCATGGAACCTTAGAGAAGCTTTGAAACTCATATGTTCTGAAGAATTTCAGAGGATTTCCGGAACTCTTCAAGATCTTTGGGATCATCTATTTAGAACGTTACGGGAAATTCTGTAAAAATCAACCCCTTTCGTCACATTTTTCCTATACCTTATACGTTACTTGTCACAGATTGCTTGAACCTCCTCTCCCCTTAAGGCCCACGCACATTAAATCCGGATCGGACGCGTTGCGGCAAAGTGACAGCTAAATCTATTGTCTAGTGTCCTTTTTCGTGTTACACTTCCCATTTTCACATGTAGAAATATTAAGGTTTCTGTGAATGTACGTAGCTGAAACTACCAAGTCCCTGTTGTTTGCAAATGTATAAACCTCGTAGATCTTGAGTTGTATGCTCTTGAAATAGCAAGGTGTGATGAAAAAATAGCCTCTACAAGGAAACACCTTAAATAAGCTCAAGGGATCCTTTAGATGAATTCAGTGTACTTCCGAGAAACTCAGTGAACTTCAGAGAATTTTAGCGTTTAAGGTACACCGGGGCAAGTTGAAACACGTGGGGAAGTTGAAACGGTTAAACGGTAGGTGTATCTCTTACCGGAAGTGAATAATCACTGAGATTATTTCTAATCTATTAGTTTGCGGTGCTACACAATGCCTCTCAAAAATAATTACAGTGAGTATTCACTTCCGCTCAGAGTTACACGTACCGTTTCAATTTGCCTCCTGGTGTACCTTCAGGGATACCTTAGACAAATTCATGGACTTCATGGAAATTTAGAACAATAAATTGAACCTCAGGGAAGCATTGGAAAGCATATTTCAGAGCAAGAAATTTAGGAACGCTCAGAGAAAAGCTTATAAAACTGAGGGAAATTCAGTCAACTACAAAGAAGCTTAGCGTTGACTTTCGAAACACTCCGGGCCCTTCAGAAAAGTCCAGTGGAAGGTCAAAAAGACTCCGAGAACTTCAGAGATCTTCATAACAGTTTGACTAAACTTCAGATAGGTCTAGTGTTAGTGTAATGAAATTAATGGAAACCTTAGTCAAATTTAGAGACATTTAGGAAAATTTTAATTTAAGCGGTTTTCAGAGAAGTACAGGGATAGTGGCGCCGGTGGCGGTAAGCGTGATAACCTCTCACCCCAGTAGGCCTGGGTTCAATCCCAAGTAATCCCAAGGGAAGTAAAGCCGTTGGTCCCCGGCGCATGAGTTGATGGGTCGATTGGTAGGGTCCAGGTATGGGAGCTGACTCCCTGGCGTCGGTAGCATTGGTGCTCAGCACGGAAAACAAGATTGACGGAAAACAAATCAAGAAAACAAAAAGATAAGTTCAGGGGAACCTCAGAAAGACTGTTCAGAAAGTATTTCACAACAGTCCGGATTTAATATCACCTACGTCCAGGTGTCTTTTAAAGATTTCAAGGAAATATTAGATATAGTGAATCTCAAAATTGAGCTGTCCTTGAATTTTATCAAAATAGTTTAACGATAGGTTGTTGAATTTTTGGCTTCTGGGTCATCAAACATTTATCGGTTATCGGTTTTGTATTGGGCTTATTTGGTAGAGTGTGTAAGAGATTAGAGCTATTATAGAAACGTTTTTTTCTTTCAAAAAAATCACATTTTCTTTATATACATATAACAGAAGTAATCCATACAATGAACTTAACTTTTTTTATTTAAATTTTGCTCATTTGTAGTCATTATAGAGATCTTTCATATGCCGCTAATTTTACTAAAATCCGTCCTCTACGAAAAATGTCGAAAAACGAGCATTTTACTAAAATTACTCAAAGTTTATACCAGCTCTGCCAATTAAGTCCAAAACTATACCGATAAATCAATAAATAAGTTGTTCAACCACCAGCTAGGATTTCAATAACCTATTTTTTTTTATCTAGTTCGTTTATTTGGAAGGCTCAATCGCGTTAGCTTTACGGAGCCGATAATTCATTGTTCACTGTGTGTAACAAAATTCACTTAATTCTATGTCTAGTAGGAGTTGGGCCGATTACTCGCGGCTTACTCGAGGTTAGAAGGGTACATTTTCGAAGGATAGGATTAGGGGAGGAGCTTGGGGTTCAATAACCTATATATTCAAAGTGTTTCAAAAAATTGTCCAGTCAGGTGAACGCTCAATTTTGCGATACACTGTAAATTAAGAACCTTCAGAGAAGCTTTGCAAACCTTTAAGAAAATTATGAAACTTCAGACAGACAAGTTTAGGAAATTTTTGAGCAGTTTAGGAGAACTCAAGGAGAATTAAAAAGTAGGTCAACACAAGCTAGGTTACTTCACAGATGTTCAGGGAAAAATGATCACGGAACTTTAGAAAAGCTTTGGACATCCGATACAAGATCAAGAATCCTCATAAAAATTAACAAAACCTTCAAAGAACATCAGAGATTTCCAGTTTCCTTCCAGGAGTTCCCAATAACTTTGGAAACCATAAAGAAGTTCAGCCAACTCCAGAGAAATTCAGTAAACTGTAAAGAGAAGCTTCAGGCAAAATTTCGAAAAATATATTGAATTTTTTAATCGACCTTCTGGACCGATTTATATGAAACTTTTTGTAACTGCTTGTTATGGGCAATGATCCACATTTTCATTAAAATTCGCGAATTTTGGATATTGTAAAATTTTCAAAATAGCGTTTTTAATTTTTTTTTTTCTAAAAAATCTAGCTGATATAAATATGACGTCTGAGATAAACATTTTTTTTATTTATAAGTAAAAACTAAAATTCGGTTTCTGAAATTAAAACAAAATTTCAAGATAAAGCATATGAAATTGAATTTTTAAAATCCTGGACTGTTAAAAACTGACAAAATTGTAGAACGAACAGTTTGGCTAAATTTATGAGCGTGTATTTTTTATAACAGAAAATGATTTAAAATGTCTCAAACATTGTTTTCTGAGTATAATTACATAAAAAACGAGTTAACAAAAAGTTTTAACATTTGACCAAAAGTTCTTGTTCTACGATTTGTTTTCTCTATACCATAATACTTTTAAAAAAGCTTAATTTTTGACATTTCAAAAGTTGGCAAGTTTATTTCAACAAAAATTAAAAAAAAATTGGACACGACATTTTGATAAAGTGAAAATGGTAATGTTGGCCTAAATGTCCCTAATTTGGGCCCATACATAAATTCAGCAACAGATTAAATTTTCAATAGCGTCCAAAAATATCCATTAGTACCGCGTTCATCTAGATACAATTGATAAATAGCAATTTTTTAGCGAAGGGCCCAATTTTAGATCCATAGGCCAACATTCAGAAACATAGGTTTCTTTAAATAACTAAAAACATTTTTTTCTCTACAACCTTGTGTCAGTGTCCTTTCCGCTACAACTTTTTGAAAATTTTCAAGGGCGCCATTTTGCCTTAGACAAACAATTATGCAAAGTTTCATGCA